GAAAAAGATATCTGTTGGCATCCCAAAATGGAAGGACATGTGGTTGAAGAATTTCATGGAAGTATCGTTGCGCATTCAAGCTTACTTCAATGTGTACCTATTGACTTTTTCCGTTGAAACTGATCATTCCCCATACCATTACACCTTCACCACCGTGCAGCAGAGCTTCATCAACACAATTTTGGGCGCAACCTTAATTTCGTCTACGGTAGACCCTACTCCGTTTATCATGACGCTGCAACAAAAAGAAAGATTTGTCACTGAACCAGACACGTCTCCACTGATTGTCACTTGCCCAGGAACGATATTGCTTGGCCCAAAGAAGTCGATTCTGGCAGTGGCGACCCGTAAGGACAGGTCCTCGGTGTGATCGTCAATCCGATAGTCCAACATCATGCAGTCTGTTCCGAACAGCTTGATCAGACACATAACGTCCCAGGGGCAATGTCTGTGCAGTTGAGGAAGCTGTTGTAAACCTGTCTCTGAGGTGACGAAGCCGAATAAAGCGATTCTCAGCTGCTGTTGTCACTCTAGTTCGTCCACTGCAATGTAGGTCTTCAACTAAACCAGTGGTTTAGAACCGGTGCCAAAGTCAACTGATGGTACTCCGATGCACGTTTAAATGCCTGGCAACCTGACTTTGACTTTCTCCTGCCTGCAATCGGCCAATAGCAACATACCTTAAATGTATCGATAGAGGCGCCATTTGTGACTTCTTGAAAATGAAGTGATCGTTTTGGTGTAGCGTTATCCTTCTATAGGGTTTAAATTGCGTAGGCAGTGAATAGTGTTCACCGCAAATTGTGCTGCTTTCTCGTGCGCGCATCGTGAGCTATGCTCACAAATAAGGTCTTAAACACAACTGACCACTGTGTTGTAACGATTACAAAAATCCACACAATTCACGCCCACATGCCCACTGGACACAGTAAACAATATTTGAGTCTGCTTTTCACATACCCGAGAACGATATTTTATTAACAATCTAATAAAAATGCGCCATCAGATAACTATGCGTTTCTTTCTTTTTTTTTGAACAGTATAACTGTGCTATATGGCTATACAGTTGAACGGGTTTTCCAGGTTTGTAGTCCTTGTCCTTTGGATATTTTTTTTTCAGGTTATGCTGGTGTGATGGGAATGGCAGGCAGATAGACTGGCCGGTTCTGCACCACTTGGTGGTGAATTGATATATAAAAAGCTAGATGATGTGAGGGCCCTTTAAAAGCGAGTAAACAGTGCGAAAGCACAAATAGATCCTTACGGTCTAAGAAGAATCGCGCTGTGAGGAGTTATCAGGGGATCTAGCAGGGGCTTTGGCCGACATACAACACTCAAGGGAAAGGCGAGACGGATGTAAAATCAGAAAGTTACTGGTGCATCGTAATTGGAACTCTTCACTTGCTGCTAAAGATGGGGTGTGGAGCGCTTATGGGAGTGTCCCGAGTGATGTTATGTGGATTCCTAATTCAACACTGACCATTCGAGTTTTGTTGCTGTTTGATCATGATCCCTGAGATGTTAATCCTACACACTGCAATCCTCGAGAAATTAACGACCAAAAAAAAAAAAAAAAAGTAATGTCTTTATGCGGATTCTTGCATTGAGTATGAAGTGTTAGGAACTGAAACACTGTGTTTTTAACACACGCAATAATACAAATATTACACGGAAACACACAGTAACCAATGAGTAATTTTGAGTGTGAAGCTCAAAATAAACAATCAACTCTAACTAACACTATATGGGGCTATGGTAACAAAATGGATAGATGCGGTCTGCTCTTACGAAAGTCTCTGGTTTAAATCCAAATCAAGACTTTTTTAATGAAAATTATATTAGCTCTAAAGTCACCCTAGCTAAGGCACCATGAAATGTTGAGAAGGCAAATTCAAACGATATAAAACTGATTATCCTCCCAGTGCCAAATTATCTTTAAAAATGTGTGTCTAACACCAAATGCTCGATAGCCAGTGGTGTAAAAATGTCCTTTTAGTTTATGACCTAAGAATACTCTGAAAGATGTTGCAAGGACCATACTAGGAGCATAGATAGAAACCCTGTGGTTTATTCTAACCTCTAGTTAGTTGAGTATCTTTACATGACGACGCAGACCCAGCCCCATCATTTTTTATGCTTTTATGGTTTTTATAGACACATTTAACGTTTAGTAGTTTGCCTTTGCTAACTGATCGGTCAGATCTCGGTACCACTATCTAAAATAAAGAAAGACAAATCGTCTGCAGTTAGGATCAAACCCGGCACCCCGGGATTAAGAAGTGCGTTTGCTCAAAATCTAAGCCACAGACGCCGGCAACGCAGCCTCTGCATGTTAGTACTTTTCTCCTCAGCGTACCCTGTCAGTGAATGCCTGATTAGTTCTGCCACACAGGCTTTACGACTGGACCATTATGTCCAGTCTGGCAGAGACTACTGAATCACTCCGTCATAGGAAATAAAATAGATGCTTGGAGTGTCTGCGTCTGGGGAGATAAGACGGAACAGAATAGAGCTGGACATCTTATTTCACAGACTGTGACATATTTCATGTCACTTTCTTTTTTTTACTTAGGGTTTCAGAATAGAAACTGCTCATTTATACCAGTTCAGTCATACTAGTGTGATACATGGACATGAGTAACATCGTTACATAAAATTACCACTTGTGAGATTGGATACAAGAGAAAAGCCGCTTCATTCCCTCATCTAGATCTAAGCAGACATGGCGAAAATCGGCAAATAGAATTGTATGGACAATTCTATCAGTATATTGTTCTTAGTCATCTCCTTTTGGGATGCAGTTTTTCGTTATTTTGAAGCCCTACCCTGGCTCTTTCCAGTGGCCGCAATATAGCCCGGCCAATAATATGGCCTAATGGCTGAACGCGGTTTCTGCGACCTCTCCACGAATGATCCTCATCCACATGGTGGCACTTTGTGTCATCAGGTGTTTATCACTTGTGTGATGTCCTGGCGGGATAGAAAATACTACTACTACTGTCAGTATTTACTTCACAGCTAGGAGGGATGAAAAAAAAAAGGAAAGGACCCTTTTCCAAGCCTTTAGGCATATAGGGCACAAAGGGCTAGACCTATATTTTATAGACCAATCTGCACAAGATAGGCGATGTGGTCAACATCACACCAGCCGCCTGGGTCGGCCGTCTAAGTAAGAATAAACTCACAGGGAGCAAGTACAGCGGGGATCTACAGTCATCAGTAGAAATTATCCTCTTTCGACACACGTTTCGGCCCACGATTCCTAAACGTATTCGGAGGTGGGCCCACCTGAGTTCATGAAGCTCAGGGCTGCTTCCCCGCTGCACAGAATTACCGGATGGTGTTATTATTTCGGCCAGAGACAAGACGACTTAGTGGTTTCGAAGGAGGTACTGTGAGATAAGAAGTCGCCGCGACAGCTTAATTAGAACAGTCCGCATGCCTGGACGACCGAGCGACAAGCTTACTTTGGTTTACCGGACACATGTTGGACTTTTATTAGCAGTTGGCAGAGGGACACTGGCAGACAATTCGTAAACGATGGACTTTCAAATGGATGAGAAACTCCTTTCCGCTAGACACCCGGACCAGCTCACCGAGGCCCGTCCCCTACGTTGTTGCGCTGCGTCCACAGCCAGCTAGAGGCCCTTTCGGCTGCCTCTCCCAGTTTTTTTAGTGCTCGTTTCCGTTCATTACCGCGCAATCCTAATTCTTTCACCACATTGTAGAGCGAAGTGGAAACGAGGCCTCTCGCTCCCACTTCGACGGCAAATACCCGTACTGTGTAAGCCTCGTTTCTCCTCAAACCGGCTGCTGATTCACTGTATTTCTCGAGCTTATACAAATGATTCTTCTCCATACGCGACTCAAACGGGACCGTCAACTCAATCAGGATGAGTTGCCGTTTTTGCGCAGAATGGAGAACGATGTCCGGTCGCAGGCCGGTTTTACGGATCAACTCGGGATACCGTTCATGTCCTGGCAGATCAACCGCCAGTAACCAGTCCCTCGCAGAGTCTAGCGCAGATGGAGCGAATGCGTTTTGGTTGACCTTACCTTTTGGAACCTGCCCAGCCTTGAGGAAACGAATGGGGACGATACTAGAACTGGCTCTGGCATTAGCCCTCATTCTAGCCTGGTCGACAACGGCTGCTAACTCTTTTAGCACCTTGTTGTGGCGCCAGGTATAGCGGCCTTGACCTAGGGCTTTCCTGCACGCGGACAGGACGTGCTCAAGAGTTTGCTTTGATTTGCACAACGGGCAAGTCGGATCGTTGGTCGCAGACCATTTAACCATGTCTAACAATATTTAAGTACTAACCGCGGCCAGCATTGCTTGGCTTCGGTGAGCATCAATCAAACAACCAGCATGTCCTTTACAGAAAGTCGCTCTCCTCGCAGCATGCTTGAAAGTCTTACTTTCTCCAGCCACTACTCCATACCTGTTATGCTTTCGTAGTCAATGTATCTTCAATTTATTGTATCGACGTTCACAGAGGTCGGCCTCTGTTTGGTTTTTCAGAGACTGCGCCCTATATCACCGTTGTCTCCCGACCACCATGGCTCTTGACATGGCCAAAATACCTCAACTTTCAGGAAAGGATGCTGTTTATGAGTCAGTTCTCCTTGTCGACGTCCAACTTCTTCTAGACCCACACTATTCTGGAGCATGTCAGTTCAAAAGCTATGACTTTTTTCTGATGTTCTTTGCTGGAAGTAAACACTGCTGGCGTGATGTTGACATGAATAATAATATTAATAATAATAATAATAATAATAATAATAATAATAATAATAATAATAATATTGATAATGGTGATAATAATTATATTATCATTGTGTTTTTTTTCTTTCTGTGAAACCATCATTTCGCCCAGGAAACCATAGAATTCAACACCTTCCCCAACGCCAAATGGGTCCCCATAATAATTGAAATAAATTTTCATAGGCGGGAAACTTATTCCCGATGTTTTCTGTGTGCCACGGCGTCTGTGTAAAAGGTTCTTCCACTGCAATTTTCCAGACAATCTGGTCAGCACCCAACGACTTCGTGTGCAGGAGCAAGTTCGGCAATTATGAAGCACCTGTGTTCAAGATCCATGCCTGTGCCTGGTGCTACTACTTCATCACACAGTCGCGGGACGTGTTTGTCCATCCCACAATGCATGCGCTCGTGTTTCGCAAGAACCAAACTCTCCTTCCTCCGTATGTCATCCTAGTGGCCGACGCTGACAATCGCACCATGGCCGATAACATCTGCAAAACAACAAATGCCGGTAGGTTTTAAAAAGAGAATCGCTATTTAATGTCTAGAAAACCCCCCCCCCCCCCCCCCCGCTTTTATTCCGCACTCCGCCTACCACCTTTCTCGCTCTCTGTCTCCCCCCTCTCTCTCTCTCTCTCTCTCTCTCTCTCTTTCTGTGTGTGTGTGTGTGTGTGTAAACCACAAGATAGTGTCCCTACTACACTTCTAAGGATGCACGAAGAAGAAGAAGTAGAAGAAGAACAAGAAGGAGAAGCAACAGAAGAAGAAGAAGAAGAAAAAGAAGAAGAAGAAGAAGAAGAAGAAGAAGAAGAAGAAGAAGAAGAAGAAGAAGAAGAAGAAGAAAAAAGAAGAATAATAAGGAGGAGGAGGAGAAGAACAAAAGAAGAAGAAGGAGAAGAAAAAGACGAAAAAAAAAGAGAAGAAGAAGAAGAAGAAGAAGAAGAAGAAGAAGAAGAAGAAGAAGAAGAAGAAGAAGAAGACGAAGAAGAAAAAGAAGAAGAAGAAGAAGAAGAAGAAGAAGAAGAAGAAGAAGAAGAAGAAGAAGGCGGAGGAGGAGTAGGAGGAGGTGGTAAAAGAAGAAGAAGAAGAAGAAGAAGGAAGAAGAAGAAGACAAAGAAGAAGAAGAAGAAGAAGAAAAACAACAACAACAACAACAACAACAGGAAAAGAAGAAGAAGAAGAAGAAGAAGAAGAAGAAGAAGAAGAAGAAGAAGAAGAAGAAGAAGAAGAAAGAAGAAGAAGAAGAAGAAGAAGAAGAAGAAGAAGAAGAAGAAGAAGAAGAAGAAGAAGAAGAAGAAGAAGAAGAAGAAAAGAAGAAGAAGAAGAAGAAGAAGAAGAAGAAGAAGAAGAAGAAGAAGAAGAAGAAGAAGAAGAAGAAGAAAAGAAGAAGAAGAAGAAAATAAAAACTGCCTAGACAACCGACGCAAATAGTAATGTGGTTTCTCTTAATGGCACCCCACTCCAAGACGTGGAGTCGTACACCTATTTAGGCAGTAATGTTGATAAAGATGGAGGAACTGATAGAGATATTAAAATAAGAATACAAAAGGCAAGAGGGGCTTTCATAGCACTAGGGAATTTGTGGAGGTCAAAAGAAATTAAAAGAAATACTAAACTAAAGTTTTTTAATTCTAATGTCAAATCAGTACTATTGTATGGGGCGGAAACATGGAGAACAACCAAGGCAATTACTAATAAATTACAGACATTCTTTAACTGGTGCCTGCGCAGAATAGAGGGAATAAAATGGTATGATAGAATAACTAATGTAGAACTTTGGGAGAGAACTAAACAGGCTCCAGTGGATCAGGAGGTGAGGAAAAGACGCTGGCGTTGGATAGGGCACACACTGAGAAAACAGGAGAACAGCATACAAAGAATGTCTTTGCATTGAAACCCACAGGGGCATAGGAATAAAGGTAGGCCAAAAAACACACGGAGAAGAGAGCTGGAGAATGAGGTTAGAAAGATTAGGAGGACATGGGGAGAGCTCCAAGCAATGGCGAAGGATAGAACGACTTGGCGTGAGTTGGTTGAGGGCCTATGCTCCATTGGGGGATAGAAAGGCAGAAGAAGAAGAAGAAGACAACCGACGTTGATGATTATCGTTTTAGAAATGTTTCGCTATCTTGTACTATACGTTAATCTGTGATTGCTTTCTCTTATTATAACAAGAAGTTTTGTCTAGTCGACACATGTTTGTTTTTAATTTCACTAGCCTCTAATTGTTGGCATTTTACACAGATTACGAGTTGTATCTTAAATAACTTGCTTTGTCTATGTAGAGAGAGCATGTCTGCTACAATGAATGAGGCGCTAACTCTGTAGCTCTGGTGACAAACCCGATGAGATATTCATTGGCTGCTTATGATATTCACCAGATAAAGATATTTACTGGTTGAAGCTATTTAGGGATTCCGAGTATATGAAATCTTCATTTAACTCAACCATCATCATCATCACACACCTAATTATCCTAAACGGTAACGGCAAATCACAGTTAACATTTCATGGCGTCCAAAAACCTACCGTTCGGGGATGTCCGACAACTATTTATTGCCTGTTTCTGTTTGCTGTTTGAGGGAACATTCGGCAGGCATAATCCAAGATTTTCAAATGCCATCAAGCTTACATTTTTGGATGAATAATGCTTTTTTCCCCCCTAGCTACATCTGTTTTTAATTCCAGAAGAGCAATTTGTGCATTTTATTGAGGCAATAAAGAATTCGAAAAACCCGTTATATGTGATGAAATCAGCTCTCGTTTTCCCTAAATTGTTAGTTATTTGTCTTCAAATACACAGTTACTAATGTATTATACCCTTCATGGTGGTATAGCTTTTCCTTGTTCTTCTATTTCTTGTTCTTCTTGTTCTTGTTCTTCTTGTTCTTGTTCTTCTTCTTCTTCTTCTTCTTCTTCTTCTTCTTCTTCTGCTTCTGCTTCTGCTTCTTCTTCTTCTTCTTCTTCTTCTTCTTCTTCTTCTTCTTCTTCTTCTTCTTCTTCTTCTTCTTCTTCTTCTTTCTTCTTCTTCTTCTTCTTCTTCTTTCTTCTTCTTCTTCTTCTTCTTCTTCTTCTTCTTCTTCTTCTTCTTCTTCTTCTTCTTCTTCTTCTTCTTCTTCTTCTTCTTCTTCTTCTTCTTCTTCTTCTTTTCTTCTTCTTCTTCTTCTTCTTCTTCTTCTTCTTCTTCTTCTTCTTCTTCTTCTTCTTCTTCTTCTTCTTCTTCTTCTTCTTCTTCTTCTTCTTCTCTCTTCTTTCTTCTTCTTAGCGTTCACCTGCTGTAAAATCGAACGAAATGTTTTATGTTTTCCCACTTCTGGAATGTGGTCTTGATCTAGAACTGAGCTTTGCTTGTACATCTTTTTTTTTACAGATCTTGCTTATTTTTATGAATGCAGACTGTTAGTTCATATCAGGCAGATGGACTACAAATTTGAAGACATCTCTAGCCACCTTATATACAACGCTTTTTATGTGTGCAGTTTAACTAACCCCCCCCCACACCCACACACACACACATACACACACAACGGAGTGAGTCCCTGATCCGCATGAGGACTTAAAAGAGATGGCGACCCGCAGGTTGAGAACCGCTGGTATCGAGTGGTTGCCTCCTTTGACGTTCCGGTCCAGGCATTCAGTGATGAACTCATATTTATATTGACAAACTGATACATAGTGGGTGACGTAATCACTGATCCCTTTTCTTGTGGGTTTGCTAAATCCACATTCTGTAGAAAGGTGTCTGAGTCGGTTTTCCTGCATCTCCTTGACTGATGATTGGAACCTTTCTGTCTTTCCAGACGATAGTGGTATATTTCGCTATAAGAAGGCATGTGTTTCACAGCCTATGGCGATTGCGAGTATGACTGGGAAGACCCGCCTGCGTTAAGAAAAGTCTTTCTCAGTTACAGCATGAGATTTTAGCACCATTGTTATGAATATTTTTGTTCAGTCCGTTTCTTCTCAGACGCTCAGCTCTCATCTTTGTTTTACCCCCTTCTTTCTCATTCCCTTCCTGATGTGCCACTTCACACAAAACAACGGCATTTTATTCCTGCATTTCCTGAAAGTTACACTAAAGACACAGCTTTAAAATACACCTAAAGGCTGGTACTATTGTTTACAGACATACACTTAAAGATTTAACAAACATAAACGATACATATGAGTAACAGTGTTTGTGTAATCTGTGATTTCTTAGATATGTGCTCTCGCTGGAAAAGTTGTTGTCATGAGGCTACTGATTGTTGCAAGCGACAGACAGAAGCTCCTCCTGCGGGAAATGGAACTTGTCCACGTACCTGGGACGGCTATGGGTGCTGGGATGACACAGCACCAGGGACTACCGTTTACATAGGCTGCCCTGGATTTTTAAAGTATTCTATCGCCTCAAGTAAGTTCTGCACACCAAAAAAAGTTGTGTGTCAGATATAGTATGTTCTTTTATTACCAAATGTAAGCTCTTAACAATTTAGCATATTTGTGTTAAAGCATGTTCTTGAATTACCAAAAATATGTTCTTTACAAGATTTTTTTCGCATGTATATTTAGTAGATTTCCGGCGTCCGGCGTCCGTGGCGTTGAAAGTCCGACTTGTAATTCCAAAGTACCGCGATCGAAACCGCGTGGATTTTTATCGTGGTCAACCCAGCCTAAAATGAATACCAGGATGTATGTCCTGGGGAAGTAAAGACGGCTGACCACATTACCCACCTAGTGCCAAATGATCTGTAAAAATATGGGTGCTCTTCCCATATGCCTGATGCACCTAAAGGCGTGAAAAGGGATCTTTACCTTACTTACTCACTTTAATAAGTCGATAATTGTATTGACCAAAGTAAAATCTTCACAATACACCAGTATTGTAATATATGAAGAGGCATCTTCACAGTGTCTCATTTATATTACCTTATTTTTTTTTTCAAGTGTTTTTATTGTATTTATTTTAAGTTCATAGGCCATGCAGTTTTTTTCTTTCTCGACAAATGTAGCAGGTTTGAAAATTTAAAACAAAGACAACGGTTTACTGTTAGTACTATTTGAAGTAAGGTGACGACGGTGTAAGAATTTTGTATTACCCAAAGTAGTCACTTGACGACAATTGGTATGTACGTATGTATGTATGTATGTACGTATGTCTGTGTGTGTGTGTGTGTGTGTGTGTGTGTGTCTGTGTGTGTGTGTGTGTCTGTGTGTGTGTCTGTCTGTCTGCCTGCCTGCATGCATGCATGCATGATTCGCTTCGGGGGCTGAATAGTGGACCCAATAACTATTCCGTATGCGGCCGAATAGTTGCGGTCGGGTCGAATACGAATAGTGGTTACCTAACAACCGTTTCTGGACTGGTGGAAAAAAAACATCAAGACTTCCCACCTTGGTTTATACTGCTATCTCCTCGTGTCCTCTTCGTTAATTCTTTGAAGTAACGGGAGTTCGTCATCATTTATGGGTGTCGTATCTGTTCTTTCGTCGTCTCGTGGAAACGGCAGCAGCTGAATGTTTTGATCGAAGTTCGGTTTCTTGATTGTCTTTGTTGTTTGATCTTCTGGTGTTGGCCGCCCGGCGTCTGGTTTCGTAAGCTGCTCGCGGGGGGAGGGGGGGGGGGGGGGGCTGAACGACTTGTAAGGACGGCATTGTGTTCTTCATCGGCGTTATTTTTATTTTTGATGTTTCGTCTTGCGGGTTTTCATTTTGACTCTCTGTATTTGTTGTATTTTCCTGTTTAGTACAGCTGGAAATACCTTCAGTGAGACAAAAAGCTGGCCTAATGCTGACAACATGGAACGAAGGTTTTTCATGGAGGTGTGTCAGCACACGAACTAATACGTGCTGCAGGAGATCGCAGATTGTGGCGAGGCATAATCGCTTATGCCAGCCGGCAAAGCACATGATGATGATGATTCACTATTCGTATTCGTATTCGGCCGAATAGTTGGTCCAGCTATTCGTATTCGGCCGAATAGTGAAAATCACTATTCGGTATAGCCCTAGTATGTATGTATGTATGTATGTATGTATGTATGTATGTCTGTCTGTCTGTCTGTCTGTCTGTCTGTCTGTCTGTCTGTCTGTCTGTCTGTCTGTCTGTCTGTCTGTCTGTCTGTCTGTCTGTCTGTCTGTATGAATGTATGAATGTATGTATGTATGTATGTATGTATGTATGTATGTATGTATGTATGTATGTATGTATGTGTGTGTGTGTGGGTGGATGGATGGATTGATGGGTGTGTGTTTGGGTATGTCTGGGTGTATGTATGTGTGTATGTATGTATGTGTGTGTGGGTGGATGGATGGATTGATGGGTGTGTGTCTGTGTGTCTGGGTTTGTCTGGGTGTATGTGTATGTATGTATGTATGTATGTATGTATGTATGTATGTATGTATGTATGTATGTATGTATGTATGTATGTATGTATGTATGTATGTATGTATGTATGTATGTATGTATGTATGTATGTATGTATGTATGTATGTATGTATGTATGTATGTATGTATGTATGTATGTATGTATGTATGTATGTATGTATGTATGTATGTATGTATGTATGTATGTATGTATGTATGTATGTATGTATGTATGTATGTATGTATGTATGTATGTATGTATGTATGTATGTATGTATGTATGTATGTATGTATGTATGTATGTATGTATGTATGTGTGTGTGTGTGTGTGTGTGTGTGTGTCAAGGAGATGCAGGAGAACCGACTCAGACACCTTTCTACAGAATGTGGATTTAGCAAACCCACACGAAAAGGGATCAGTGATTACGTCACCCACTATGTATCAGTTTGTATGTATGTATGTATGTATGTATGTATGTATGTGTGTGTATGTATGTGTGTATGTGTGTGTATGTATGTTTGTAAGTTGTACCCCACCAAGACATAACACAAAGTGACAAACACTCGGCGACACAAAATGCCACCATGCGGATTAGGATCACCCGTGAAGAGTTTCCAGAAACTCCGTTCAGGCGCTAGGCCATATTTATGGCCCGAGTATATTTAGGGCCTCCGACCAAAGACAGTGTAGGGCTTCAAATAACGAAAAATTGCTTTCCACATGGGGACAGCTTTTGACGACGATCTGGTTGTTTAGCAATTTTTAAATGCTAGGCTTTCATACCAGACACTAAGGATGGGAATGTCGGTTTGGTAATGTATTTTTTGGTTCTGTCAAGTCGGTGTCTGTGGCTAAGGCGCTGCGAACGCACTTCGTAATGCCGATGTGCCGGGTTCGATCCCAGCTGTGGGCCCTGCGCCTTGCGTTGGTTTCGGCAGTAGTATCGAAAAGCCGACCGTCCAGGATGCAATGGCAAACTACTGGACGTTAATTCGCCTAGAAAAACCGCAACAGCCCAAAAATGCTGGGGTTGGTTCTGCTAAGTACTGTAAAGGATTCGCAACTAACAAGAAAAGAATTTCTTACTTGCATTGTTCCTGGTGCCTGCACTAACCATGCTACTCTAAATACTCTTCCTCAAGATCCCATTCTCATACACCGCCCTAACAAGTATGTAAATATGGGCAGTACAGAGTTAAAGATAGTCCCTGGACAGTGTAGCTGTTAGAGTTACTTAAAGTAGGTTTTCAGCAATATAGCAGTCAGGGAAGTCTTGAAAAGTAAGAAAATGACTCTTTTCCACATCTTTAGGAGCACAATGGGCATATAGGGCTAGACCTAAATTTATAGACCATTCGGCACTAGATGCGTGATGAGGTCAGCATCATACCGATCGTCATTACTTCCCATGA